ATCTTCGCAAACTCCTCCATCAGCCTCGTCTCCCTCGCATACTTCGTATCCGCCAACCTCGCCATCACCTCCGGCGCAGCCAACACCTCAGTGAGACTGTGTAGATGCCCTGAGCTACTGTGCACAACCACGAAATTGGATTTATTCCCCAACACCGCCTTATCATTCCGCCTCCTCGCATCATCAAGCACGTACTCCACGAACCCCGCCGCCGTGAACCCAGGTGAAGCGATCAAAAGCGGCCGCGGCTGCGAGATATCCACATGTCGCCCCAACGTCTCCAGCACAGCGTGGAAGAAGCGCTCAAGCCCCTTATCATGATCACCCGCGCGCCCCGCCCTCTTTTTCGGAATAGCGATCTCAACCCTCTGCCGCAGAATAGTCTGATGTTCCGTAATCAGGCAAATATTCGCCAGTCCCTCCTGCATAACCACCGCCGGCACGGCACCCTCCTTATCAACCCGAACCGCCTCCCTCACAACATCAAGCGCGATGCTATCCCACCCCCCATTCTCCTCAGCTTTCTCCAAGGTGAAGTTCCGATGTAGTTCCAGGTCCAGCGTGTGGAAGGCACCGACTTTGACGTGTTTGTTTTCCTCGGCTACGCGGCCGGAGACGTGGAGTTGGCCCGCTTGGGCGTCGAAGTCGAGAGAGGTGACGCGGATGGCGAGGGTGGTGTGGACGCGCGTGCTGGAGGTGGAGCCGGTGGCGGATTCGGTGGTGATGCGGCGGATGGCGGAGGCGCGGAGGAGGTCGAGGGGGGAGATGAGGTTGTAGGCGTGCCACTGGGGGGGAGGTTAGTTGCGGGACTGTGGTTTGGGAAGGGGGTGGATGGGGGAAGGGTCGTGGTGGGGGTGGTGGGGGGGTGGGGAGTGGAAGGGGGGAATATACCATATCCTCTGGCTCCTCCGGGAGGAGGACTACGGTCCCCGAGCCGTCGCGCTCGATGTTCTGCTTGATGAGCCGCATATTGTTGGTGCTCTTGTGCTGGGTGCGTAAGGGATGGACTTCGTCGCAAGAAACGCGGGGTTGTTGGCGGGGTTGGTTTGATGCGCTGTCTCGCTTCGAAATCTCAGCCTTGTGGTGGGAGGAGGGGTGGGTTTGCGTCGCGAGGCTGGACGAATAAATATTCTCGCATGACGTCAGGGAGGCTTATTTGGAAATAGTTTGGTGGGAATTGTATTTTTTAAAGTGGCACGTTTTATCATCGGAATATGAAATGAGTAAGGCGAAGTCGTGAGCAAATTCGAAGATCGTCTGGCCAGTCGAGGCTCCAAATTTACTTACTTAACGTCCATCGCCTTTCTATACTCTCGCAACCCCGCCAGCCGTATAAATTATAATATAGAGCAGCTATATAATATAGCAATCTTCCTGCCATTCCAGACACCACAGAAGTCCAATATCGACGACGTTCTACTTACACCGCTGTTCCACCCAAGAAAAACCGTAATGAACAATAATAGATCAGGATTTTAATATCCGGTCTGAGGCGCGGGATGTCCAACTCCAAAGACTCCGGAAGGCCACCGGGACGTCCCTGTCCATTTTCGGGCGACCTGCCAGCGCCCGCTCGCTGCTCGTCTCATTGCGGGACAAACCTAGGAGGCGTTGGTGCTACCCTCCTGTGAGTTTACTTCTCGCTGTCGGCTGCATTTCTCTCTGTCGGCTGCATTTCTCTCTGTCGGTTCCCTTTCTCGCTGTCAGTTTCCTTCTTGTCGTCGACCTCCTTTCTCGCCGTCAGTTTCCTTCTTGCCGTCGGTATAACTCTCATCCCCCTAAGGACAGAAACTCCTCACTCCCCACCTCACCCGCTCTTCGATAGGTGACCGGTTGGAAGCTTCAACCCCCACTTCCCGGGAAAGGTATACTTCTGTGTGTGGGTATATTTCCCATTGTAAACAAACGGCGCCCTATTACCATCAGCATCGATGATGCCGAATCTCTTGATATATTATAGAGCCTCAAGTAACTCAGTCTCGAGATTGCTGAAAGTAACTGGCCCTCTGTGCTGTAGAATGGGTCGAGTGAGTAACGATCGATCTTGTTGAAGCTTTCAGGGTTGGGTCCTACACGTCTCGAGTGTTTATTTATACAATAAGCCCCCCCCCCTTTTCCCAAAGTTCAACCAAATTCTGTATATGAAGGAGTTGCGACAAGGGCATTTATTGGAATTGAATTATTCAATCCATCAACAGTCGCGAATACCAGCTAGATAACGAAAAATCCCAAGCCTATTCCGATAAGAAGCACAACTCCCTTTCAAATCTCATATTCATCTTATAAAACGAGATAAAAAAGATATAATAAACCCCTATCCTCAAAACTATCATCTCAGTATAAAACGCCATAGATGCACCAAAAGCGCACCCACCATATCCGAAAAACCCACGCAAGCCTCCCTCTTTGCAAGGCATCCATCATCACGGCATATCCATCATATCTCATCCTATAACCTGCATTCGTAGCCACATACCAAACCCTCCTCGAACAACTACGCCTGCTGCTCAAGACACATATCCAATCTATCCCCCAACAACCTCACCTCTGCCAACCCCCCCTTCATCTCCTCCCCAAACACCTTCTCCAGCTCCCCCCCTTCCTTAAGCGCCTTCTCCAACCTCCCCCTCGCCGTCCTAAGCGGCATCAAATAAATCTCCTCAATCACACTCATACTGCCCTCCGGCACAACCCCTTTATACTCCTCCGAATTCAAAAAGAAGATCAAATTCAGCGCCGCCATATGGAACGGGAACGTGCGCCGGAAGTCCTCCCATAGCTCTGAATCCGTCTCGGCGTCAAGCATGCTCTCGTACGGGAAGAGGTAGGGTTGTAATGCTGCCACGGCGGCGGGGGTGCCGAAAAGATCGTCGGATTTGCGGGTGTGTGCGCGGACGAGCTCTTCTTTGAGCCAGCCTACTGCGGAGGCGCGGAGGGGCTCGAAGGGGCAGTGCTCGAGTGTGTCGGAGATGAAATTCAAACGGAGACGGTCTGTGGGGTGTGCGTGCAGGATGTTCGAGGTGAGGATGTGTGCCGCGTGGCGGAGGGTGGGCTCAGGGCAGTTCGCGGAGACGAGGGAGAGCGACTGGAGGAGCTGGAGGTAATCTGTTGGGTCTAGTGGGCCGGCGACGAAGTGGTCCGTGTGTTCGAGCCAGAGGCCGATGGAGAGGATGGCGTCGAGGATGGGGGGGGATTCGGTGCCGGAGGTTTCGAGGCCGGTGGTGCCGATGAATTTTTGGACGAGGAGGGAGAGGGAGGGGAAGATGGAGAGGGCGGGGAGGGTGACGTTGGTGTTGGAGAACATCACGGAGGAGAAGATCGCGTTGGCGGTTAGGAAGAGGCAGCCGGTGAGGGAGAGGGGGACGTCCTCGGGGGAGGTGGGGGCGAAGTCTTCGCCTTCGGGTTCGTTGGGGGGGGTGGGGAGGTCTTGCTCGGGTGCGTTGAAGAGGTAGTCGACGCCGTTGAGGCCGACGTCGCGTGCGAGGGCCTGGAGGTGTTAGAAAGGAAGGGAGAATGTAAATGTAGGGTCATACCACTAGTTTCCCGAGGAGAACCTCACGCTCCTGCAACTCCAGGTCTTCTCTGAAAGCCTCTCCGAAATTCTTCTTCCCTGGCACAATCTTGTCCGGCGCGAAGTGCTCTTGGAGCCGCGCGGACCAATCCAAGCTGTTGTCTTTGACATATAGTTCTATAATATGGGTGACAAACGACTGCACGAGCTTCTTCTGTATGGCTTCCTCCTTTGGGTCTTCTGCTGCTGCCTCCGGGTCTGGAGCCTTCTCATCCTTTTCGTCTGATGCGATTGTAAGGTTCTGTATCGAGAGACTCGACTTGCGCGTTGGGAGTGGAGGCCTCTTGTTCCCCGAGAGTGTCTGCGCAAACGCAGTGATGGCATGGGTGGCCTGACTTGACGGGCGGTAGGAGCTGAGAATCGCCATCAGGGAGGCAGAAAGGAAGCGCGAGGGGTATTTCGTCTTAATTCTTGGGTGGAGGGTGGCCAGCATAGAAACGAGGAGGCAGAACTTGTCGACCTCCGTTGGCTCTGGTGTCTCAGCCGGGGTTGGTGACGCAACAAGTGCATCGCGAGTCGGTTCAGCCTCTTCCGTCTTTTCGGTCCTCTTAACATCTTCAGTCTCGGCAGCCTTATCCTCTGTAGCTTCATTATCCTCCTCCTCCTCTGGCTGGTCCAGCACCAGTAACCTCAACGCTTCGGTAACTTGGAGAATAACTTCTCTTGGGTTTCCCAGTCGTGCCACAGTCTTCAAGCACGGCGCGGATCCCGGAAGTGGGAGCAGCATGTGGACGAGGTCCCAACCAATTCTCTGGGTGAGCTCAACATCCTGAAGTACGTCATTGAGCGCGGGTAGAAGCTCGGGCGACAGGTGAGATTGCACGATGGTGAGATATGTGAGATCGTCGGTGACGGGCGGACGACTGTCGCGGATGGCCGTTTTGGCATGCTCTAGGAGAGAGGGAGAGGAAGAAGCCATGGTTGATGGATTTGTGGTGTTTGATGGGGGAGGATTTGAGGTCTGAGAAGTTGTTTGGGACCTTGAACCGAGCAGGCAGGCGGGCCTAGCTTGGATGTCGGGAAGGCTTGTAATAGAGCAAGGCTGAAACTCAGAAACGAGTAAGTTGAGGAGGGCGAGTGGATGGGATCTACTGGGAATGGTACGGGAGTATACTTGTAAATGATACTGTATTTAGTGTCTATGGCAAGTATCATATGTGTACTATCTCCTGTTTGGTGCTCTACTCAGTTAACTTGCTCTTTACAGTGGAGCGGGGTAGTTGGATGTTGGGGACAGGGAGAGGGGTTCCGCTGGGTCCGCTGGATTCCGCTGGGTTCCGCTGGGCTCCACTATGGTCCGCTGCTGCGCCAATGTTCCCGCTAAACATCACGTGACTTGTATCACATGATTATAGTCACGTGAATTGCACTGTATTCTGGAGTTCTCTGTCTAAGGCCCTATATTGAGTTTATCATATCCTATGAGGCTGTAAGAGTTTGCTCCCTGCGAGAGAATGGGCGTATAACACGAATGCCGTGTTTAATGCCGGCCCACCTCCCAGCCAATGACGTCCGTTGGGTTCGGAATTACACACGGGGAAACAGAAGGAGCGAACGGGACAGGTGGGTGTAGTGGGGTTCACTATTTGTCGCTCATAGTGGGGGAAACCCCGCATCGTCGGAGCACACCAGGCCATTGTACAGCCTCCTACTGGAACTTCTGCTGCGAGCTTTCCCCCTCCTCCGGCTGAACACAAGAATAGACCCAGAATAGCCCATTATAGCTCAACCAATTCAACCGGAAAGCCTCCTTTTATAAATTTATTTCTTGTGCTCATATATCCTGGTCAGACAGCTCACAGAGTTCATATACAAGCCTGCCACTTGAGGTGACCTGCATATTCAATATCTACGAATCATTGACCGCTCCCTGCCCTTTATAGTCACCATGTCTGCTCCTGAGCATGTCCCAGAGGAGCCGAGATATATCGAGTTTCCCTCCATTCCCCATGGTACTCTCAGGGATGGAAAGCTGGTGTTGAACAGGTGGTCGGCCACCTTGACGAAGGACCATGACTTCCCAGGAGCACAGGCTATGCTTTACGCAGCCGGTGTGCCCAATAGAGAGATGATGAAGACTGCTCCTCATGTCGGCATCTCTACAGTGTGGTGGGAAGGAAACCCGTGCAAGTGAGTGTTCCTTGCCCTCTCTTACGGACGTTCAGAAGCTAACAGCCCTCCTAGCATGCACTGTGAGCATTAATACCTCAATTGAACTTGGAACCCGGCTAACGAAGTTTGTCTTCAGTGCATGACTTGGGAAAGGTTGTCAAGGCATCAGTGATCAAGCAGGACATGCTGGCATGGCAGTTCAACACAATCGGTGTATCCGATGCTATCACAATGGGCGGCGAAGGTATGCCACACACCCCACCCCATTGCCCGCAAGAACTCTCCTCTAACAAACCCTAGGAATGCGCTTCTCCCTCCAAACTCGTGAAGTCATCGCCGACTCCATCGAAACCGTAACCTGCGCTCAGCACCACGACGCCAACATCTCCATCCCCGGCTGCGACAAGAACATGCCCGGTGTCATTATGGCCGCCGCGCGCCACAACCGCCCCTTCCTAATGATCTACGGCGGAACCATCAAGAAGGGCTTCTCCAAGCTCCTCAACAAGCCCATTAACATCAGCACCTGCTACGAAGCCTCCGGTGCATTCACCTACGACAAGCTCCACGCCGCCGTCGACCCTGGCACCGAAGGCCGCACCCCCTCAGACGTAATGGATGACATCGAGCAGCACGCCTGCCCCGGCGCTGGTGGCTGCGGAGGCATGTACACCGCTAACACTATGTCCACCGCCATCGAAGCCATGGGACTCTGTCTCCCCGGCTCCTCCTCCAACCCCGCCGAGTCCCCCGCCAAGATGCGCGAGTGCGAGAAGGCGGCCGAGACAATCAAGATCTGCATGGAGCAGAACATCACTCCCCGCAAGCTTCTCACCAAAGAGTCCTTCGAGAACGCACTCGTCCTCACCATGGCGCTCGGAGGCTCCACAAACGGCGTCCTTCACTTCCTCGCCATGGCACGCACTGCCGAGGTGGAATTGACCATCGACGACATCCAGCGCGTCTCCGACAAGATTCCCTTCCTCGCCAACCTCGCACCTTCAGGCGAGTACTACATGGAGGACCTCTACGACATCGGCGGCACCCCCTCCGTCCTCAAGTACCTCATCGCCGCCGGCCTGATCAACGGCTCCATCCCCACCGTCACCGGCAAGACCCTCGCCGAGAACCTCGTCTCCTTCCCCTCCCTCCCCCAAGACCAGGTCATCATCCGCCCCCTCGACAACCCCATCAAGTCCTCCGGCCATCTCCAGATCCTGCGCGGTAACATCGCCCCCGGCGGCGCCGTTGCCAAGATTACTGGCAAGGAGGGTTTGGAATTCACTGGTGCTGCTAGGGTGTTTGATAAGGAGCACCAGCTTGATGCGGCACTTAATGCGGGCGCGATTCCGAGGGGTGATAACATTGTTATTATTGTCCGTTATGAGGGACCTAAGGGCGGGCCGGGTATGCCTGAGCAGTTGAAGGCTTCGGCGGCGATTATGGGCGCCGGCCTGACGAATGTGGCTTTGGTGACTGATGGACGTTACAGCGGTGCTTCTCACGGCTTTATCGTGGGACATGTTGTTCCTGAGGCTGCGGTTGGCGGACCGATCGCGGTTGTCCAGGATGGCGATATGGTGACTATTTCTGCCAAGACGAATACGCTTAGCATGGATGTTCCTGAGGAGGAGATTGCGAGGAGGCTGAAGGCGTGGAAGGCGCCGAAGAGTAAGGTTAATAGGGGTGTGTTGGGGAAGTATCAGAGGTTGGTTGGAGATGCCAGCCATGGTGCTATGACGGATTTGTTTTAAGAGCTAGAGTTTTGTGTGCATGAATAGATGGGATTTCTTTATTATAACTTTTTGCCATATGAACCATCAAGACGTACGTGAAAATGCAAACCCGTGAAGAACTAACCCGAGAATAACAAGACTACTCAAGCACGATCTCAAACTCGAAATCCCCCGTCCGCAACATATACTGCTCCGCAGGCCCGGGACCACAACTCCCACTCCCAATCCCATGCTGTCTCCAATCCAATCTCACCACCCACCCCTCCTCCCTCTTCCGTTTCTGGAGCTCGTAGTCATGCGTACACTCCTCCAAATCCTGCGTCGAGAAACAATTCGCCGTGAACCCGCAGCCGTCTTGCGCGCCGAAGGTGGCTTTGAGTGTATCCCCCTTCTCCGTTTCCTTCCCTTTCCCGTTATCCCCGTGTGGGGAGGAGGAGGAGGAGGAGGAAGAAGAGGAAAACTCAACCCACCTAACATCCGTCCTCCCCCCTCCCTCCTGCGGCCACTCATACCGCGTCCACAACCCCTCCTCCCCAGCTTCCCAATTCCCAAACCGCTGCGCCATCTTCGTATCCGGGTATCCCTCTCCCGGGCCCCTTCCCCACCATTTCGCGGTATCGAACTGTGGTGCTAGGCCAAGTTCTAGACCGATGCGTGGGAGTGTCGAGGGGAGTTTTGGGCCCGATGGATGGCCACGGAGGGAGATGTGGAGGTGCGTGGGTGTGAATGTATACGTTGTGGTGAGTAGGATGGACCATGCGAGGACGGGGGGTGCGAAGCGGGTGGTTGTTGTTATGGTGGCGGTGGAGGTGCTGGGGGAGGTGGAGGTGCTGAAGGAGACGGGGTGGGGGCGCGCGAGGTGGAGGAAGGAATCGTGCCACCCCCTGGAGGCGGGGAGGTCGTTATCTGTTGGTGCGCGGTAGAAGATTGGTGTTAGAGGTGCGGTGAGGAGGGGTGGGTGGCCGGGGTGTGAGAGGCTGAGGAGTTGGCCGAGGGGGGGGGAGAAGGTGTATGTTGTTGTTGCTGTGGTGATTTGGAGGAGGGAGGGGGAGAGGGTGGTTATTGTTGGGCAAGAGGGCGGGGATAGTTTAAGGGATAGGGTGCAGAGGGAGAGGGGAGGGAGGGGAGAGGGGGCGTGAATCTGGATTTGTCCAAATGCGAGCTCGAAGCCTGCTGGAGCCCAGTTGGTGGCTTTGGCGAGGGTGAAGGTGAGTTCGACATATGACTCTGTATGTATCCCCATCAAATCGAGGGATTTAATCTCCACCTCCGCAGTTGCCCCCGGTTTGACACCCCTTGGTATCTCCACCTCCCTCTTCTCCGACATCGCCATCTCGTCACTGACGATGGAGTACTCGCACTTCAAATGATCGAGAGTGGCGAAGTCATAGCGGTTGATGATTTTGATTTTCTGCGGCGTGCTGCCTTCGGAGAGGACTTGGATGGGCTCGATGGCTTTTTTGTACTCGGTTAGGCCGGGGGTGGGGGTGTGGTCGGAGAAGAGGAGGCCGTCGAGGACGAAGTGGCCGTCGTTGGGGAGGTCGCCGAAGTCGCCGCCGTAGCCGTAGTATTCCTCGCCCTCTGCGGTTTTGGTGCGGAGGCCCTGGGTAGGTTAGCCGTGCGTTCAGGGCGAAGTATACGAGTGGGAGGGAGGATGACTGACGTGGTTTGCCCATTCCCATACAAACCCGCCTTGTAGACGGGGATACTTATAAAATGCATCCACATACTCCTTAATCCCCCCCGGTCCATTCCCCATTGCATGCACATACTCACACAATACCATCGGCTTCGCCTCCTTATTCGTCGTCACAAACTCGATGAGCTGCTCCACACTGTGATACATCCTGCTGAACACATCCGTGCTCTCGGCATTAAAATCAGCTTCGTAATGAACTGGCCTCGTCTTATCATACGACTTGATAAACTCATACATCGATCTGTGGTTCCTCCCATACGCGGATTCGTTGCCGAGAGACCAGATGATAATGCTCGGGTGGTTCTTGTCACGCATCACCATCTGCCGCGCGCGGTCAACATACGCATCTTTCCACTCGGGGTTATCGCTCGTCCAGGACGCGAAATCGGTTCCCAGCTCTCCCATGCCGTGGCATTCTAGGTCTGCTTCGTCAAGAATCCAGAGGCCAAGTTCGTCAGCTAAGTCGTAGAGACGGGGATCGTTGATGTAGTGGGATGTTCGGATGGCATTGATATTGTGTGTCTTCATCATGAGGAGGTCTCTGCGGAGGAAATCGTAGGGAACGGCTCGGCCGTGGTCAGGGTGGTGCTCGTGTCTGTTGACGCCGCGGATGACGATTCGTTTGCCATTGACTTTGAGGAGACCGTCTTTGATTTCTACTTGGCGGAAACCGACGCGTTGGGATATCACTTGTTTCTCGCCGACTGAGATGACTAGCTTATACAGGTAGGGGGTTTCGGCTGTCCAGAGGTGTGGTTTCTCCATGGGGATCTCGAAGAAGACTGTGGATAGTGGTGATGTCTGCTCTGCCGTTTTGAGAGGTTTCAAATCGTCATCAAGGAGCTTGACTTTTATCGCAGCCGGCTCGCTGAGCTCGACTCGGAGGAATAGAACTGCGTTCTTATAATCATTCTTCAGGATAGTCTCAACCTTGAAGTCCTTAACATGGACTTTAGGAAACGCGAAGAGATTCACATCTCTGAAGATGCCGCTCAACCACCATTGGTCCTAAACAACTGTGTCAGTACCTCATTCCCAGAAGACACGAGCACAGGCACCTACCTGATCCTCGAGATACGACCCATCACATCTCTGATAAACCCGCACCGCAATCCTATTCTTCCCCTCCTTCAGAAACTCCGTGACATCCCACTCACTCGGATTCCTCGCCCCCTGACTATACCCCACCTCCCTCCCATTAACCCAAACATGAAACCCCGAATCCACGCCCTCAAACCTAACTCTCAACTGCTCTCCCTCCTCCATCCAACTCTTCGGGACCTCAAAATCCCTCACATAATGCCCCGTCTCATTCTCATCAAACGGCACATTCGGCGGGTCGACCGGCCACGGGTAGTTCAGGTTAGTGTACTGTGGCCCCTTTCCGTGGCCTTGAAGCTGCCACATCCCGGGAACGGCGATGTCGGACCATTTTGATATGTCGAAATTGAAGGCGTGGAATTCTTCAGCGCCGGGTGAGAAGGGAGAGGGTGTGAGGTGGAATTTCCACGTGCCGGAGAGGGAGAGGGTGCGGGATTTGGTGACGTCGCGGGTTACGGCGGCGCTTTCGCTGGGGTAGATATGGAATGTGCCGCGGGGTGGGAGAGTGTTCTTGTGGAGGACGCTGAGGTTGGACCAGTCTGGTTTGGTGATGGGAGGATGGCTCTTTTCTTCTCCGAGGCCAAGCATCTCATGAGAGGCCTCTGGAATCACTACTGATTCCATGGAGTTTGACATGGTGAATATTTTAAACCGGCCTTTCTTTCTTCTAGGATAACTGCTCACTTCCAGACAAATATCGCGGTTATTATATCAGTCGTCTCCGAGAATGCGGGGTTCAATGATAGCAAGCCACACAGGTACGGTATTAGAATCAATCAAGAGGTTGTGAAGTCGTCGGAACAAACGGGTTAAGAGCAGGATATAATTGGTATCTTATTTATATAAAGCCCGAATGTCACCGTATCAAGTGATAGTTTTATCAGAAAGGTTGATGAGACGACGAGGAGCTGTCTCACGAGTCGTTGATGACGGGCTGACCGGATTAAGCTGTTTGAGCGGGGTTGCACAGCAACCCCGCGTTAGCGAATACTGTAAGGTTCAGAATCACTCAGTCGCTAAGTCATTCACCATGTCTGGTGATAAAACACAAATGTAATACAATATTAACGCAATTCAATGTGCAAGATTCAGTACGAGACAACGGCCATGCATGAGTTAAAACTAATATTACATTTTTAAGCAATATCAAGCATGAAGTCGATCGCCAAGTCTATCAGATCAAACCAACTCCACCGTTACGTGCATTCGTTAACCTCGTTTCCACCCCGTGCCTCTTAGTATCCATATCAGATACCTGACTGATCAGTCAACAGAGACATTTAAGTGTACTGCCAAGCACCAGCATCGTTGTTTGGCTGCGCAACAGCAATGAGGCCCTTCAACTCAACGCAATCGGTCTGGTTGAATCCAGGAGTGCGTCCGTAGATGCGATGAGTGGCCGTGGCATCAACATATTCGGAGACCTTGGGGCAGGCAACAAGGCCAGCTAGGAAATGTTAGTTCTCTGTCACAAAGAAGCAGTGATAAGAACTCGACGCTACGTACCAAAAGTTGGGTGTCCGGGAGTCTCCCAGCTGACGATGGTCTGGTTGACTCCGTTGCCATCAAGGGTGGTGTAGGTAGTGAAGCCACCGATGTATGCTCCGGCCGGGATGGAGGCTGAGTGAGCTTGGGTGTAGCTAACGGCTCCCGAGACGTCAACGAAGGTCTGCTGGCCACCTGGGACAATGACGCTACAAACTAATCAGTCTCTGTTTCTGCCATGAGAAGGCGGCGGTCACTTACGACAGGGACATTCCTCCCTTGTACACTACTGTCTCGTTTGCGGCAGGGCAAGTGAGGTTAGGGATGACGGGGCAGTATGTGGCGGGGCCATCAAGACCGAGGTAAAATCCGAAGCCTGCGGCGTTGACGTCTTCGCCTTGGAGGGTGGAGGATGGGTTCCACGCCTTGAGGGTGAAGGCGGTGATTGGGTCCTGAGCAGAGACCTGCGACGAGAGGACGGCGCCGACGACGGCAGCGGAGGTGGAGAAACGCATCTTGTAGTTGTTGCAAGTTAGGAGAGCTTGAGAAGGTAAGGAGAGAGAAGGGGCAGAGGAGGGCGCTGAACAGGATTTATATATATTGATCAAGCAAGGTCCACAGTGACGACGTCTAGGAGGGCGGGTCCAATGCGACGTGGGGAAATGGATATGCCAGCCTACCGGACCTACGTGTGGAACAAAAGACCTGGGTTGGGCCGCTTGAAATTAAGGAAACAGGCGGTACGAGTGCGGATATCAGGAATAGGTTATGGGACGGGGTGTTTATGCATACATTGGCTATGTTCCAGGATTAGGATGTTTGTGATCATCACTGAATAACCTCCTTTCAGCCTTAATCGCGGAGCATGGAACCCTGGATGAGCAAAGGGTGGATACGACGTTAAACAAGCCTCCCGCACGTCGCGTAACAAGGTTATACTGTAAGATTACTCATTGTTCTATACTGCGACTCCGGTATGATGAACGATTTTTCATTGTGTTCCATGGTATCAGCTTCTTTCGTCACAGCTTCCCGCTCCAGTTTGTAATCACTATTTCCATTAATAGAACCTATTTTACGCCTCTATTAACATTCTCATAAGCAATGACGACACACGAATATAGAATACCATGTCATTTAGCCTCGGACTCTTGTGATGGGGAAACCTCGTATTGCTGCATAAACTGCAGATCGAAACCGTTTAAAGGTTATCCACATCTCGTAATCGCAACAGCCGAACAATGCCACGCCGGCGGACAGGCCATAATGGCATCACGCCGTCCCTGGTGATCTCTCGTACTCAATGCTGATCGCTTGGTTGGTTGGGAAACACTGAAATGTTTGCCGCGCGATGCTGTTGTTCGGTGTCCGTTGTTGCCGATATATTGCTGTGTGAACCAAACTTGCTGCTGTTGTATATTGGCGGCTCCGGCCAGCCAGTTATTTATCACCGAGCTGCCCCATGGGGAAGCTCAGATTATGGATGAGTAAAAGTTTGATATCTCAGAACAAAATGCTGTGAAGGAAAGCCCCAGGTCGTACAGTTGTGCATCACAAACCTTCCAACACACAATGTTTGCTATAATGTCTACCAAACCGCCTTCAAAGAGCGTTTTCAATTTATAAGGATTCTTCCATGATAGCAGGTCTAAAAATCTGTAAGTCGATACTTCATGAAATATTTCATGTTCTTCTGTTCGAGTGATGTTCCATGAATCGAGCTTACTTCCACGTGCCTTGAATGTCGACGACATCAGTGGACCCCGGCGGCAGAATTCTTTCACCGCCCACCCCAACCCCCCCGGACGACTTCAGTCTATCAACATCTCAAATTCCGTTTCAGCCCTATGCCTCGAGCCGTCGTCGGCTGATATTCTTTCCAACACCTCACTCAGCGAGGTCTTCTTCTGGCGAGTTCATGCACTGTCAATAGTTCTGTGCATTGAAGGGATCCCCCTTCTTTAGGCCGCAATGGGGATATGTTCGTCCTGTCTGGGTCGCGACCGTGGTTCTGAAGAGGTATGTGTTACAGGCCTCACAACCCATTTGAGTCAAGACAGAGACTAATCATACTGGTGTTTTAGGATGATACGTCAAGATTGATCTTTGATGATCCCCTGGCAAACAACTACGGAAGCTTCACCGACCAAAACGTGGTTACAACACAGGCCGATCCGCAGGATGTGCAACGTGAAAGTGAGGCTCTGCAGAATATTGTAGCAGAGACTTCCAAGTATGTTATTCATTGTTCAGATCAAATCATTAATTACACCGTGCTAATTAAACCTCAGTCACCTCGTCGACATTTTCGCGATGGCTCCTCAGAACCAACAGCGCCCACCAGCCACAACCTACGCCTCCCAAGCAGCGAGATTCGTCACCTACAACGACCTTCTCGGAAAGCCACCCATGGACGACCCCTATGTGGACACCTCCAGACCTCCAACAGCCGACGGCAAAGATGCCGACTGGCTATCCGATGATGAAGACGACGAGCTATCCGGGAAGAGCCTAGGAATCACCAAGCCGGACGTAGGGCCGTTGCTGGGAGGGTTCGCGGATATGTAGCGCGGGGCAAAATAGGCTACGTCCTACACTTGGGGGGTTTCGTTTCAACTTTGTACAAAAACAGTAAAGCATCGGCGCAGGGAGTTTATATGCCTTTCGATGATACCCCCGCATATATGTACGGTTTGTCGCATATGTGGGAAAAAGATAATTTTTTGCTATTGGGTAAATTCCAGGCATAGCTAGACAGCATCAACTATTTATTATTGGCCCAGGTACAACATTTCCAATGTCTGTTTTATTGATTTCGATGATGAGGCGTGATTGGTGTTGATTTATGTCGGCTTGACAGATTTGCCAGCTTACGACAACTATGGACCAGTCACTTGTTTGGGGCTGAAGATGACATGTCGCTGGTCTTACACCGTGTCAATATATTTGACATAAAAACTGATTTGAAATAGAAAAGTATATAAACATCATAAAACTCCAAGTAGTCTACAATTCTATATATGTACATGAACTCTCGAGATATGACGTAGAGAAAACTGCGAGGGTAGTCCTAGCAGCTGGATATCATATAAGCAAAACACAAAACGCTAACACGTTGTTCTAAAAATAGTCATGATACATGCCGCTAAACCCTTTTAGTACGGGGCATTGGGAAACTGCGCCCTTCCCCCAGCCGCGCCCCCATAGCTGGTATCCGTGTCTGGCCCCACGGTACTGGGCTTATACCCTCCAGAATAGGGTGATTCGTGTTCGTCGTCAGCGCCAGGCCTCGCGTAGGCGTTATCGTAGCTCGCGGGCTCGAAGGGGTGGCTGCTGCTGCTGCCTGGGAGTTCGGAATCAAAGCGACCTAGGCGGTCTAGCTCGTCCTTGTCATTGCCGTGGACGGGGGCATATTCGTCGTCGTGTGGCAAAGTGGAGAAAGCCTCGCGGTCGGGGTCGATCATTGCTGCGTTGTTTGGTATCCGCGCGCCGGGCAGGGAGCCGTGGTTGCGGTAGTAGATTGCGCCGTAGACGGAGATGGCTGATGTGAGAGCCCAGAGAGCACTACATGGCGATGGTTAGCAAGAAATCCCGCTCCCTGGTGTAGGTGTAGGACACGTACAATATGAAAAACCCAAAGCCAACCATGGCCTTTGAAAAGTTGCATGCGCCGAAACAGTATCCGTTGCTGTTCCAGGCAGCGACGGATGCGAAAGCTGAGAGCCATAGGATAGCATATAATACATCGAGTCCGGCGAATACGTATGCGTTGCCCCAGCTGCGTGAGCGAGCAAAAAGAAGTGTCATGCTGTTGTAAATCATCGGTGGAATGGACAAAAAGCACTGTTTGTTTGTTAGTTCTATACGAGGCAAGGCAACACCAAGATTTCAACATACCAAAGCAATGTACCACTGAATGGGACCGCCATTTCGTGAACGCTTGGTCATGTATGTGATCGTGATACAGAGGGCGACCAAGGTGAAGAGGGCCTGGGCGCCATGAAGGCCGGTTTTGATCCGGGGCAGATGAGACGTTAGAGCCATAACTGCGTAAACAAGGGATGGCTCAAATAAACTGTCGTGGTCAGGATCGCTGTGAGCAGAAAAGAAGGAGCAATAAGTAACAGCCGTGAAACGCTCAATATAAAAGACAGCAAAAGATATTGTTAGAAGTGGAGTATTGACGCGAAAGGAATGGCAGGGTTATGGAGATGGGCGGAAGAGTGATCCTTCGTCGTCAGCTCAGCCTCGCTTACTGTTGCGATCCACGTTCCTAAAGTCGCCAACGACAACAAATAGAATAAGCGCCCAAATATTTCCCCGCTTTCGTCACAACATCGATCCATCGATCAACAACACCGGTAAATAACTACTATAGATACCAAAACAACCATCTACCTATCTTTCTTCCGTGTCTCTATCTCATGTGTAACGCTGGATGGGAATCCCTTACCCCGCCACAGCTCCCTCCAACCAGACCTGGCCTTTCCGGGTGACAAGAGCCATGTTCAGACTGAACAAGCGCCTCACACCCTATCCGTTGTTTCACCACTCAGCCATACCCGCGGAGCCTCCCTCTAGGCGCTGTGAGTCTATCGGTTATCGGGATGGGGAAGTTGAAGTCACACGGTTCTATCTTTCTCTCCGGTTCCTCGCCTGGCTGTTTCACTATGGGGAGCATCGAGCGGTGAGAGTTTATGGTAAATTCATGTGATTTCATTCGTCATTCATTATTTAAATTTCATTATTCAACAAGGAAAGAGCCCTCCGCAGACCCGGCCAAGGAGATGTTTCCGTGGTTCGGCGCGTGTGTGTTTCGCCCAATCTGCCTGTGTTCACCTTCCCAGCGCCAACTATTCCTGAAACGAGTGATGGAGCCCCAAAAACCAAAAAACAAGAACAATACAAAACAGAAAGTAATTTTTGTCATCCTCTCTCCCTGGGCCTTCGGTTAGCTGCTGATCCCAGCGCGGGGAGGGGGAATGTGTACTCACAATTCTCATCACAAGCGGTTCCTCCTATCCAATCGTTCCTCCTCGAGGTTATAGATCTCGCGATCCAGGTCGCTGATGATGTCCTCGGAGGCCTCGATGGAGGCCTTGCGGTTTCGCTCGCTCTTCCATCGCTTGATGCGGTCAACCTCCTTCTGGCGGCGGCTCAATTTGGTTGCGATCTTGTCACAGATTCGGCAGTTCTTGGAGCGGTCCTCGTTGCAGTTCATGACGAGCTTCATACCGCAGGTCTCACCGGTGCGGTACTCCTTGGCGCAGTGCTGGCGGAAGGTGCCCCACTTGTAGTCGCCGCAGCGGTAAAGGGTTTGGTCAAAGAAGCACATTTTGAGATGGTGGAACTGCGATTGAAACGTCAGTATGTGCGGCAGGAGGAGTAAGGAGTTCGGACAGCTACCTACTTGGTGTTGCTGTTAAGGCTGAAGTGCAAGGTGGTGTTTCGAAGATGAGAACTTTGAAGTTCTTTGAAGACTCTCAGGGATATCTGGTGTTTAGGTTGAAAGATTGTTCGATGTCGAAGTGAGAAGACTGAAGACTGAAGACTGAAGAATGAAGAGCTTTTGAGGAGCAAAGAAGCCAGGTATTTATACACAAACTCGTTCATACTGGCACGGCTTTGAGAACACGACAGTGTTTTGATTTGTGATTCTCCGACCACTGACAACTTCTCAGAATTGTCTTACCCTTGTTCAACACGTCGAGGTGCTAGATTGGCAAATGATGCGGCCACCACATCTCCGGAGAAGACCCGCTCGATACCCATGTGAGGCCTCCAACGGGAGGCCCAATTCCACAAACTCCTCGTTCACCAACCGATTTGAACATCTGCCTGCCCGCCACTCGACTTTTGAGTTGACGACTCTCATCTGAGGCCCCTTTATTTCGGCTATTGGCCAATGCACGGCGATATCACTTCACCGATCGTCGATGGACTCGCCCAACCCTGTTCCCGTCTATCTCAGCCGACGAGGCATTTGAGGCTTCACCCTTGCCTCTGTTGAGTTGCATATGCAGTGATATCTGCTATACAATCACGTTATTGCTTTGTTGTCCGACGCCTCTGACACGCTTATACCCTGCCGCGTTCAGATCTTGTCGATCACTGGTGGGAACCCGAACGGCAATGGATCACCATATATGCCAAGGCCATACGAGGCCTGGCCTCAGCCTTGATAGCCTCCTTTTACTTGTCTTGGAATGGTCACACTGAGAAACAGAATCCAGCATCCTACACTCAATTGAGAAAAACAAGTTTTGGAAGGGTGGCTGGCATCGCCACTCCATGACGGCCCAAAGAACTACTATGGAGCTTTGATCTGCGTCGAAGCTATGTGCTTTTCTGCCGATTCGTGCATCAAAGACACGAGCCTTGGATCACTTCCTCTGTGGTCCATTGCGTCTCAAGTCAAAGTCATGGGATCTCCCGGTGGCAAAGAAAAATCAACTTTTTTGTCCTCCTTTTGGGCCACCCGCCTGGCCGGCCGCGTTCATGCAACCACCTTGCTGCAGGCCAAGCGCACTGCAAGATGTCAATCCGTTAATCCTCGGCCCTACCCTTGTGATATTCCAACCATTGACAAAATATAGGCATCCGTTGATATTATGTGTTGTCAACTTTGCGGGGGGGGAGGATGCTCGTTCCGTCCGTTCCATGTGCAACCAACACGAGATTGATAATCCCTCTTGGTAAAGCACACGGGATAAATGCCTCTCTCGTCATGGCCTGGGGGGTAGGCCATGACTACCATGTAAGTCTGGGGCGGGGTTGAGGAGGAGTTTGCAACGTGGCGAGCTCAGTCTGGTTGTTCTTCTTTTCATTTCCCCCGGACGCTAGAGCATATCGCCACTATAGGAATCTGGATGATTCTCTATCATCGTCTATCACTTACCGGTCCCGTGGTCCTTGCTCACCTCCTCGTTTGCATCCCACTCTACCGTTCTAGCTGCGGCTGTATTACAACTTCGTTTACAAAAATTGATCCCAATGGATAGTCTTTGAGGGATATCTGCATTCGATAGAGCTGAGTGAACCTGGCGCCATCATGGGGGATTCAATGGTGGGACTGATCAGCGGTCAATATCAAGATGCGAGGCGGACTACATGTCGGCAAGGGAGGTTCATCACAAATTGTTTAGGCAGCCTCTCCCCCCGTCTCAATGCATGTCTCAGGAGGGCTGAGTCGCCAATTAGTATAGCTAGTGAAGCGAAATGTTGGATCTTATTATTATTGCCTCACTGGTGACCATGTTTACGCGGAATTGCTGGGTATCCGAGCGCCCTTTTCCGCCTGTTTCTCATTAGGCGTCGCATATTGTGGTAAACAAGACCGCCTTTTGACCAAGCGGCGAAACTGGCGACCCCTTCCCAGGCCCCCGAGCCTTGCAGAAAACCATAACAAAGTTCAATCTGAATGCCGTAAAAGCCTCCCTTCTCTAAAATCCATATCCCGCGCTGCACACAAGCAAGCTGCGACGTCAAAATTCACCTCGAAGCTCCCAACCTGATCATTGGGACCGATGCCAATCATGTGAACGCAAGCGCACTCGCGATGGCTGTGGGCGCGCAGCCAATCGTCAGCTCCCAGAGCACTGTGCGCCGATTAAGGTGTGAGTGCAGCCCCGCGAATGTGAGTCGGTGGCCAGCCATTGGTGGGACGCGTTTTGGGGATGGGGGGTGGGGGGGGGCACACCAGAAGGTCGCGAGGCGGCCGGGGCGGCCCTGCGGCGGGGGACCCGAAACGTGGGCTGGTGGGGGGGCCAGCTCAGCTGCGTGCCTGTGTGGGCGGGCAGGACCGTGAGTGCTCTTGGCGGAGCAGACGTGGATAGTCGACGTGGATGGGTAAGGGCGGTGCAAATGGGGGGGGAAGAGGGGGGAGGGGGTTGAGGGGGTGAGGGGAGCTGGGCAGGCATAGCAAGAGAAGAGGGGCGCAGAGGGTGAGTGTCACCACCACGGAAAAGGATGCAACGTCCCTGTGTGTGCAAGGTGGTGCAGGACTGGTGCAGGACGCTACAGTGATGCAGCAGTGATGCAGCAGCAATGCAGTCGTAATGCAGTTCGGCGGAGCTCAATTTCTGGATTTGTAGAGTCGGCAGCCCAATGTCCGGATGGGTACAAGGGTGGTTTGTTGACTGGATTTCCGTGTTTGTTCCCGGCGTTGGCGGGGTCCGGCGGCAGAAATGAAGACCTAAGCGCTATCGTGATTGCTGTCGTATCCGTACCAAGTCCACCCAATAGTCCAATAGACGCCTTTGTTATTGTCTAGCAATCAACAACCAGCGCGCACATACACACACAGGCACACACACACACACAGCACACACGTACGCACGCCAGGCTCAACCAAGTTACATCAGGTGCAAACAGCCGGTGTTTCAAGCGCAACACGTCCGTCCGTGGAGGCGATCGGAGCAGATCTTACCCCGTCGACATGGAGGACGACTTTGCCCAGAGCCGAGGGGCTGACGACCTTTTCTCAGACGAAATCGACCCCCCCGAGGCCCCGCAGTACCTCCCTACTCCTGCCGTGCTCTCAGCTGAGAACATCGCCGCCCACACCAGCCAGCAGGAGGCAGAGGCTACCCCTCAACCCCCACCTCAACAATTCCGCCCTCGCAACAATGCCCGCCGTGGTGGCGGCAATCACCGCGGCGCAAGCGCACCACAAACACCTCGCGCACCAGCTCAGCAACGCGCTCTCGCCAGCCCCCCGCCCCCTGCTCCGACACCACCCCCAGCACCCACACCTGCCTTCGACCCAGCCACCGTCGCCGCTGCTGGCGGCGCCGCTGCACCGACTCAACCAGCTCTGGCAAGCCGCGTCACCTCTGTTCGCGGCGACCGCTCGGCCACTGGCCCCGCGAAGCCGCAGAAACGCACGGAGGCTGAACTCACGGCGCTGATGGCGAGCATGCAAGTCAAGAACGCCGCGAAGACCCAGGCGCACGCGCGGGCAGAGCAGGACGAGGCAGCGTACCTGAAGCGCGAAGAGCAGGCTGCTGCGAAGCGGCTGGAGGAGCGTCGTAGCGTGAGGCAGATGGATATGGAGCGTGCGAAGAACCGGGAGCGGAAGATCAAGGCGCAGGGCGGGAGGGAGTGGGATAGCGAGAAGACGGAGGCGGATATTGTGGATGGGCGGTCAAGGGGGAATAGCAGTCAGTATACTCGCGGCGCACATGGGGGGGTGAGGGCTAGGGATGATGGGGGACAGCGCAGTGGGTTGTGGCAGGATAGCAATGCACCGGCTTCGAGTCCGGAGTTTGGCGAGCGCGGGGGACGGGGTGGTCGCGGTGGACGAGGAGGTCGTGGACGTGGTGGTGGCGGCGGGGCTGGGCCTCGTGGCCAAACAACTGCCACGCCAGCTGCAGATGAATTCCCTGCTCTCCCAGCCGCTGCAGCGCCAGCTCAGGCACCGGCAGTTGAAGCACCGGCAAAGGCTGCGGATGCGGCACTTGATAAGCTACCTCTTGGCGGCGGTCTGAGCGGGAGCAACTGGGCAGATGAGGTGGAGAAGGAGAAGGGAGCTGCAAAATAGGTGGAGGTTGGGAGGGATGCATATTATAGACTAGGTCTGTTTAGCTACGGCGGGTTGCATTGGCTGTAGATTGAAGGCGGGGGACGGCGTTCTGGTGGGAGCAGTATATACACGAGAGAAAGAGGTTAATGATCACAGGCAGGGTGGTTTGGGGGGGATATTCAAAAATTGTGAGGCAAGTCTCCTGGCGTTTTAGAATATGGAAACTCACGGCGGAGGGATGCCATATATACTAATCAAAATATACGAGGGTGTATAGAAGTATATTTAACGAACGCCCTCGTATATTTTGGTTACTGTGTATGGCCTCCGTTTGCCGTGAGTTTACGTAGTAGCTCAAACAGTTGCTCGAACCTATAAAATTAACAAAATTAACTCAAATTATATCACGACGTGAATGAATTCATTCGTATTTATGTATTTACAGCAAATTTATATAGCAGAATATCACATTATATATATTTAATATTTACGTGGGTATTTTAAGGAACAGCTAATATCATAAATGGGCCTCTTTTTAATTCGAAAATCATAAATAGGCCTCTTTTTATATATAATATCATAAGTAGGCCTCTTTTTAATACAATATCAGGAATGGGCCTCTTTTTTTCTTATCGCTCACCGCCTACAACATATTACGCGAGTGAAAACTCTAACTGCCTCTATTTACATTTTATATTTTAGTATTCCTAGCCGTATATTACTATATCCTTACTCGTATAATGTCTACTCTAGTAATAGGCGATGTTTTCCCTTTAATAAAAGAAGCTAAGTGTAAAGCGTAAGCCTAGGGTCTCACAGGAGTCTAGGGAACTAGGTTAGGAGGCAGGATGGGTATCGTATTCAGTAAGCACAATAGGTCTACGTAGATACAGCGACTATTAACTAGAGTCCTCCCCTAAGGCTCTAGCCCCTAATATATCTTCCTATACCGTGAACCCTAATAACCGGGCTATACCTGAATGACAGCT